CCTGAAAACTTTTAAACTACGCTAATTAGAGTTGCTGATTATAACAGTAAAGTTCCCAATTTATTATGATGCTATATTGAAGAGTTATGCCAGGTAAGAGGTAGCGGCCATTTTTTCAATGTTCTTAAAAAGTGCGATTAAACCGTTTAGAAAGCTTCGTAATCTTGTGAATAGTTGAGTATTGAACTCAGCGTCCATAAAAACCCTATTGCACAAGTTTTCACAATTTTTTGAAAAATTTTGAAACGGCAGCTTTTTCCACATTGACACCATATGTTTCAAGTTTCTACCGTAATCCTACAGTAATGAAGAGAGATGGGTGATTCGTTCTATACTGCAAATCTAAGTTGAAGCCAGCTCTACAAAACGGTACGAAGCAAGGCAAAAGACTTCTTGGGAAGAGAGATATTAACGATCAAACGTTCTAAACATTTTTTTGGGGCACCCTGTAGTGGTTTGAAAAAACCGATAAAACTTTCGAAACAACCTAATAGATGGTATGAAGGCGAAACCCCTCTTTCACCATTCATTGAACAGAAAATTCAAAAATTCTTTTTATTTCATGCATCAAGCGCCGAACCCCTGTTACATGGTCGGAGCCCGAAAATTACCGGTCTAGCACTTGGTTCCCTCCCCTCCACATCCCCTTTGCTCATTCTACACTTCTTTCCTTCCCTCCCCCCCCCCAGAAATGGGGAGTATTTTGGCACTCTAACAATGAATACGTTTTACTTGATTTGTTCGTAATTACCATTACTCCATTGTAACGCTATAAAAGCTGTACCAACTGATCTTATGTGAGTATTGAACTTACAAGGGAACCGTGTCGAGTCGAAGTGGCCTTTCCAGATGAGACCCATACTGCTTTGAAGAGTATTAAGCGGTGATTCCAAATCTGCCTTCCAAATCTGCCAAGCGCCTCTGGACGCCGAGTTATGACCGTTCTTCGGAACGAAAAATGAATGCAGAATTCAGGTAAAATTGATTGTTACAATCTTTCCAGCGCTCAGATAAAGCAATGTTTATTAGCATATCAAATAAAATGTATCCATTGCATAAACAGCTCTGATACTTGTCAGTGGACCATTTGAGCAAATTTGGGTGATTTTGCTTCAGTTTTGCATTCAGTTTTTTGACCTGAGAAACGAGCATAACTCGGCGTCCAGAGGCGCTTGGCAGATTTGAAGAGCAGATTTTGGAATCACCGATTAATGCTCTTCAAAGCAGTATAGGTCTCATCTAGAAAGGCCACTTCGACTCGACACGGTTCCCTTGTTAGTTTTGGTTACAAAAAGTGTTCATGACTTCTCTTCCAAATGCTAGGATTAGCATTCCAAGCTCTCACTGATGCAGTGGCGTACCAAGGGGGAGAGAGCGGGGGGGGGGAGGCAATGGGTCGTGAAATTTTTGAAAGTTACTTACATGAGTTATAAAAATGTGCAAGAAACTTATTCATGCTTGTAAGTAATTAAAATAATTTTTTAAATTTCTTAAAAATTCAATTTACCCTTACAAAAAAAATTTTTTGGGTGGTTGACGCCACGCCCCCTTTTTCTAAAATTTGGGGGTTATGGGCCCGCTAAAATTTTGAGAAGGGTACGAAAAAATCTCTTCTAGGTGCGTGGCTAACGCCATGCACCTTCATCAGAAAAAAAATTTTTGTCGCGCCCCTTCCCTTGAGTGGAAATCCTGGGTACGCCACTGCACTGATGGTATGCATTTTGTAATAAGCGGCCAATGTGACTTGTAACCCTCCCTTGTAAGATGCAAATCAGTTTTGCTTGGCTTTGATAAGGATGGTAACAGTAATCGCGGAAGTTGCGAGTTACCATTAACAGTGCTTGGTTTTCGTCAAGAAAACCTCCATGTTTTAAGTGAGCTTCGTCACCTCATTCATTCATGATATGAAAGCCGCTTTCTGTGCGCCTATACGCTAAAGCTGATGTGAGGAGTCACTTCATGTCGTCCAAGCAACTTTCGTCTCCACTCAAATGGTTTGGTCCGTATGTTTTGGCGTTCGACCTCATTTTCGCTTCTTCGCTGTGTAGGCAATCTTGGTTTGCTACGACGTCAACATCATGGATTTTCGCGGAAAATTGTCTTCTGAGGTTGTTCTATGTGCTGTTCACATATGTAACATTCGTTTCATTAGCTAGGGTCCGACTTAAAACTGCGATAGTAGTACGTTGAGATTTACGGCAAGAACCAGCTTATACAAGAAGGGGTTGCAAAACTACTATATACCAATGGCGGAGAAATTTTTAAAAATTCAAATCAGCCTTGCAGAAGGATTTTCTCCCACCTTCTGCAATTTCGGGGTCATGGGTGCGCAAGAAGGAAACATTCAAAAACATTTTCGGAGTGCGCGAACGCACGCACATGCACTCAAAATAAATTGTCGCCCCTTCCCCGGTCGGAAATCCTGCGAGCGCCGCTGTATATTCATATTCACGAAAGACTTTAAGTAGTGATCAGGCAGAATATTTACAGTCTAAAAAGATATGGCAGGTCTTGAATCTTTGCTCGGAGATTAAAAACTTAGATTGAATAGGTTGTCGGTTTGTCCATAGGCTCTAAAGAAGGCGATCTGTCAAAACGCTAGCCAGTATTTCCTCACAATCTCGTGTGCGGCCTACAAACGCAAGCTTAACATAAAATTCATGCCGAGGTTGATAGAGATTCGAACAATCTATCAAAATTATTTGTAGTATAAAGAATCTCGGTATTTGGACACTGAGCTTCCTTAAGTCGAAACGATAAAATCAGTGAGAACGATGTTTGAGTGGGCTAGAATGAGTCTAATGCCACTCGCATTCTCCGTTAGAAATGCTGTATGATTTTCACAAATTTGAGAGCTTCCATATTGTGACAAGTGTCACTCGAGAATCACTAAGTAATAAATGGGCTACATGTGCGAGAAACTTGGACAAAACAAGGAACAACTTGCATACACCGTCACTCGATAACGGGAAGCTGATTTCGGCATCAACCTCTTATTGCTGGAGAGAGTAAATCCGACCAGTGGGCAAATGATTTTCAGAAGGGTTGTCCGAAATAGATACAAAGAGTTACTCTTGGACATCAATATGTATGACGAATATTTTCATCTATTGTCTTTTAATAAGCTAACACCATAAAGCGAAATCGAAAAGCTTGGGAAAGCACTGAACAGTTATTGATGTAAAGTTCGGTGAAAAGATCCCAAGATATCGAAAAAAGATAAATGCCAATACTTTTTTGCATACTATTCGAACCTCCTCAAATGATTTGGACAGAAACTACAAAGAAGGATCAGAATTTCATTCTGATAATTTGAAAAGCCGTTTCGGAATAGAAGAATTTCTGAGGTTAACATGTAAAGAAAGGGAGCCAGGCATTAAGCTTCTTTCGCAAAACCAATTAAGTTGTATGTGTTGTAAATCTAATCCAGCATATTTATGGCAAAAGCAAACTTGATATCGGTGTGATGAAATCCATCGAAAATCTCGTTACTCCAACCATTCCTTCGCGTCAGATACATGCTTAGCACTATTTTAGTAGATGATATCCAATTATCAACTTATCAGTTCCATAGTGAGACACAAAAAACGTACAAAAATTTGAGAAATGCGTATTACACAAATGGGTACTTTTCCGTTATCCGGACCCATTTTTTCAAAGGAAGAAATTGCTTCTATTCTTGTACCATATTTTGTCCCAGCTTCACAGGAAAGAGTGTCAACCTTCTGCCACGTGTCAAAAGAATTTGACATGTCATCTACATGTTTAACAGGTTTTACCAAAAGTTTGTGCTACCCTACCTAGCGATGTAGTTTCAATTTCTTTTTTAGTTAATTTTGACCTTATTTCGATCAGACAATTTCAAAATGAACACTGTCATAATAATGACAACATACTTTCATCGATGAACAGTCTAGCTTCCTCAGAATAGAGAAATTTGCTAGGATTCCGTCATTTAAAAGGCGAAATAAGCAGCAGCAAAGTAATTTAAGCTATCATTTATAGCCTTTGCCGACTAAATTCGCCTGGTGAAAAAGGTTTGAAGAGAAAGAAATTTTTGGTCATTGCTGAAAGCAAGCAAGATGTTTGGAAAGAGTTCATGGTTGTCTTGCTCTTATGTAAAACAGTGGAACAGCTTCGAAGTGATCACAAATTCTCTTTTATCTCACCGTAAATGATTTCGAAAAAAACATGTCAAAATGAACCAAAACGTGTCAATTTTTTCGTGACACGTGGCAAGAAGGCAGCCATCGTAGAATCTATGAAAAATTATTCTTAGACTAAAGAAGGTATAATATGAGAGAGTTTTGAAAAATTGGGTCCGGATAACGGAAAAGTACCCACAAATGTACGCTCTTTTTCGATATGTTTATAACAGTGGCGGACCGAGGCCCCCCCCCCCCCCCCGAGAATGGGTCGCGAAATTTTTGAAACATACCTACATGGGTTATAAAAATGTGCAAATAAATTGACTTTACTGGTTTTCATGTGAATTTTAGATTAGTGCAGGGTTTTTAATGTTAAATTCAATATTTCTCGACAAGTAAAGCCTAAACTCATTGTTACGTTTCTAAAGGATTGGACTGTCTGCCTTGGCTACAATTCCTTTCAAGACTTGTTCAACAAAGATTTTGGAGCACAACTAGGTGCATCTTGTCCTATACAATCATTCCGAATGACCACCATGGTTACCAGTATACTTCCCTTATAATTTAGCCATCGTGGTAGACTTTGGTGAGGGGGGGGGGTAGCGGTTATCGTAGGTAGGCGGTCTTTGATATGGGATTTGTTCGAGGTCTGTCTACTCCGCTGCGTCAGAACTCCAGAAGACTGAATTACTATCTCTACAAGCCTTCGTTCTGATTCAGCAAGCTCTTGGCCTGTTTTGATCAATCTTGTTCTGCATAACTTCTAACCAAATAATACTTACATTTGCCATGAAAACAAAGAGAAGTAAATCACACTCACATCACCATCATAAAATATACTATGCATACAATCGATCAAAACAGATAAGGAAGCAAACAAAGTGAGTAGAATAAAAGAATGATGCACTTTGATATGGATATGACGCGATCGATTATCGATCAAGATATGACGATAGAATAATTGGAGTAAAGCCATTCATCGCCTTGGCAACAACTATTGTGCCTTCAAATCAATATCGCTATGAGAACATTGAAAATAGTCTACACAGTTATTGCTGGACTTGTTGACTCTTCCGAGATATCCAGTGAAGCAATTGGCTCCTGCATCAACGATATCTCTTTCACTGCTGGTGGCGAATCCTTTTTCTTGCGCAGCAAATTTCTTTCTTTAACCTGCAAAAGCGATTTGCTTGTCTTACATATTGGAAAAACAAAATCATGACTTACTTTGTATTCCAGAGTTGAGTGAGGTACGCCGTAGTAACTTCCTGCTCTATGCACACTCATTTCACCTCGACGAACGCTTCGTACCGCTTCATCCAAGGCATTTTTGTCGTACTTCCTTCAAACAAGGATGTTATTTTATGTACACCTTTAGGTGAAAAATATCAAGAGCTTCGTCCTAAATGACTACTTATCTAGTGCTCTCGAGATGTGCACCAAGGAAAGGATAGAAGCAGAAATCACAAAACGGTCCAGTTACATGACAACACAGTCGTTTAGAAGCTTCACAACGCGGAAAATCGAATTTTTGCAACATTCATATAGGCAAGAATTATGTTTGATCAGCAAAACATTGGAAATGCACCACAAGGTAATCATGAGCGGTCCACAAGTAAGCAGTGGCGTTCCAAGGATTTCCGTTTAAGGGGGAAAGGAGAGGAGACAAGAAAATACCAGTTGAAAGTGCTTTAGCCACGCACCCCAAGTCTATTGCGCTGATTTCCAAGATTTGTGGTTATCGAAAACCAGCGCTAGGATGTATACAAAATAACGCACAAATTCGAGCATTAAGTCTTCTGCCATGAAAAAGGTGTCGAATTTGCTCTGCCACTGGAGTGCTACGAGGTGAGCAGAACGAGATTTGTAGATTTTGAGACGAGACATGCTACTAAATACCATGCGTTATGAAGCTGTCCAAACTAATTTGAGAAAAAATGAGGCCCAAGTTATTAGTTCAGAGAGCAACCCCTCGATCTCCCTCATGATCAGCACTCCAAACTTCGCAGCATTACATCTAGGTCCTTTCATGATATGGAACCAAATACACCATTTCTGCTAAATTATATCAAACCCTGATAAAAGGCACACCGTGTCTCCCCAGTTTGAAAGGGTGAATCATGATCCCAACTTATCAAAGGGAAAATGTAGCACATAATTCGATCTATCCTTGTCATAATGAAAGAGTGGTGTGGACAGTGACTCAGTTAAAAGCGAAAAAGCTCGCTGAGAATGAACATGCTGATTAACCAATCAGAGGAGAAATGGGACAGGACAAATCTTCAGTATTGAAGTTTCCTGACAATGGCAGAAGATACATTTCCAAATTCTAATGAATAGCGGCAAGTTATCCATTGCTGGCGCTTTAATCCACAAGGAGTGGTTGAGGGAGTGTTTCGAAGTTGATGTTCGAGATCCTGTTAGAGTTTTGCCCAATATTTGTAGGAAATAGAACTTCGCCTGTTCAATAGAAATTTTTAAGCGAGGCAGTGCCTTCCTCTTTTTCTTGATTTCAAACCACGTTGGTAAAAGCCAGCAACCAAAGACACGTTACACTTATCTACCTCATCCACTTGATCAGCTTCAAACAAAACGCTTTTTCAATGGTTATCATATTGCGGAGTGGGCGAAGTGGATAAGATTGGCGCGTGCAGAAATTAGAAAAGATTTGAGTTATGTCACCATATACATTTGATTTTTACACGAAGAACCTTAGATGTGTGTAAGGCAGAAAGGTGAAATATTCGGCCACAAAAATCTACGCAAAATTTTCGAACGATAATGAATTTGTATTACCTGTACTGCCCGCGTTTCGGTCGACTTTTCTTCCATTCCGAGAGATCTTCTTTTTTGACATCTTCTTTCGAAGACGTGCCAATATTGTCACCAGCTATGCTTGTCTAAAACATTTTTGGTTAGCATTCATCGAAATCGCTATACAGGCAACTAACCGTAGTCTGGCTGAAGAGACTCTGCCAGAGATTGGTAGTCCAGTCGCTATCCCAACGATTTTCCGGATTATCATTTTTCTAAATCATGTATCTTCGCTGTAGCTGTGAGATACTTATGGCAATATTTACCTCTCCCTCAGTTCCATCACTGCTTGGAGAGATAGATGAACAATCAGTAACTGGGGTCGAGGCCCTTAAAATATTTGAATTACAGGAGAAATATTTCTGGAGGAAAACGCGGACTTTTTCTGCCGTTCCACCTGCTCGGCAAGCTTCTTCTCGGCATTGCTCTGTCCGCCAGGTCGTCTTCTTTTACTCATTGGCACTTGTCCAGCCATTTCTTCCGCAGCTTCTAGTTTGTATATTTTATTTCTCAAAGTCGATCGTGGGATTCCATATACTACAGACGCCCTTCAATAGATTTATTGGTAAAGTTTGAGCACAATTACATCTGCTACGTTATGCAAAAATAAATTTACCGCCTCGTCCCTAATCGTCCACATCGTATATCATTGACAGCTGCCGTTAGATCTACTTGACTATAATTCCGTTTCATACCGTACCCGTTTCTTATCAAATCCTCCGAACTGAAGTAAAATAAAATAATAGATCTTGGGATGCTTTGTCTCAATAAGGATGAACAAACCTAGCCGGTTCCTTTTCCACTGTTGCAAAATTCTGCTGATGTTGTTGATGCTTCCGCTGTTTGTGGCTATAATTGGCAGCTTCGATGTCGATAATTGCTTCCAATCCCTAAATTGATAGTGGATGAGAATGGCTCGGCCTATCCCAATATGCTAACGACACCCTACCGATTTTCTGCTCAAATCTAGCGGTTGTTCTTCTCGAGGACGTGTTTCAGCTTGGGGCTCAAGCGGTTTTGTGTTTTGCGGTGGGAGCTGAGGGGGAGCGGGTTGGACAGGCAAACTCCATAGTGTACTTGCCAAAAATGGGTTAGCCATGGCTAATTCTAGAGTATGTTCCAATTAATTTTACTCAGCGACTGTGAAAGTCTAAGTTGGAAATCTCACGATTTTCGAACATAATCCGTTGGAGTTCAGGAGTGACAGCAGGAGCCATGCCAAACAGTCCAAGCATCTGCATCTGCGACATCATCTCAACTGAAATTCTGCATTTGAATTTCGCGCCAGTGGAGTTTAGTTGACTGAGAAAACTTATTAATGGGGACTATTCCAGTGTGGTTAGAGACAACCTCTCTCTTCGAATGAAGGTGAATTCTGATAAGCAGATACTGTACAGAAGCAGCTTCTCTGCTGGGCTCCCGCACAATAAGCCGAGAAATTTCATGAAACACGACAAACGGCGCCGAAAAGACTGTACACTCCGATGAATCACACCATCGCCGCCATCACAAATGTTTCAGAATGTTTTTGGACACTAAAAACTTCCACAAGACAACAAGATTACGGTAGCAGCTCATAATTCGTCATCTTAGACTTCATCTTGTGTGTTCTCGGGTCGAAAATGTTAGCTGACGGAAGGATGACCAACACCCCATTGAGAGTGTTGAAATTCACACCAACAAACACCAACATTCACATTGAGACTCGCACACGTCAAAAATGTCGTCTCGACCGAAATGTGAATTATTTTGATAACATTTGAGCTGTACGGCTCGTGGGAACCCGCACGCGTTTACCACCAAATCTACGGTAGAGGAGATTGTGATGCTCCAGTTTATAGCACACTAAAGTGGTCCTTTTTTGCCCAGTCCATGGAAGGAACTCTACAAAAGACTCCGCCTGGTGATCCGAGCTGATTTGAGCTTTGCACAAAGTTCTGAAGAAATTCTTTTCTCCTCCTTGGTCTAATGAGAGGTATTTAGGTCATCTTTTATAAGTTGCCTGTGGTGCGTATGAACCACGAAGACGTTATTAATTTTAGTTCGAAATGCACACATTTTGGTTTCGATTTTTTGCGGCTAGAATTTCCAAGAGCCTAACACAGAAAAAGAGCTGGAAAGATACTCTCAATACTTTTGATCGTAAACATTATTTTTATTCGGAATAGAGGAACATAGTAACTATCTTACGATCAAAGTATCGCAGGTACTACACATGAGTCATAAAAGTCCATGGCTGGATCAAAAATTGTAATTCCGAATTTGTAATCTAAATTTTTGAAGAAAAAAAACCTAGGCGGTGTAGGCTAGACCCAGCCTGTAATTTCAGCGATTACTGTGCTGAACTATTAATTATTAAAAAAATGCATTCTCTTAAAGAAGAGCTGTTGGTGCTTGTGATCTTGGGGTTCGTAATGCTTATTTTTTTGTCAGCAACGGTGTACTAGCGAATGTTTGAAGGAATCAATAAATAAGAATTTGGTGATGATTCCACAATAACTTACTCAAAAACTAAGGGCGCTGCGTTTCTAATGCATGTTTTCTGCTGGTTAATTCACAGATGAAATGCAAACGGTGTTGCTGCAACGGTTGATGCGGTACTTTTTGACAACGGAACTTCACAAAAATAGAAGGCAAGAGGAACAATGACTGATTCGTACGTTTTTGATGGGCCGATTGGACATTCGCTTTTGTCGTCGACGTAGGATGACACCAACATACGCTTATCGCATGGGAATCAAAACTGATCTTGGTGGTGTACGGTAGGCGAATCATGACGCACCGTTTGGACTTGGAGCATGATCGATTTGGACAGTTCGACACAATTCACATTGCATCTTATTTTGAGACTTTCCTCCGAACGGCATTTTGTTGGACAATAGGAAGAGCAGAAGGATAATGGCTATTATAGGAGTGGAATAAACCTTTGTTAAGCCACCTTGTCAAAATAAACATTTTGAGCTTAGAAAATTGAAAATATTGATTTTTGTGCCGATGCACTCTTCAAGATTTGCTTATTGAACAAAATAGTGGAGTCTTGGAGATTTTCAAGAAAACTGCATTTTTTCTTCAAAAATGAAACATTTGAGCTACTGCATTACTCACGAGCAAAACACTTTTGGTGGCACCTAGGCGTTCAAAGATTATATCTTATACTAATTTTCAATTTTAGCAAATTCTTTACAACTCACATTGCTGAGCAGCCTGCATTCTCATGATTGCTTCGCGTGTCCTTTCATACAGATTTGTCATTCCGACTAGTGTGGCCTCAGTCGAAGCTGACGGTACAGGCTGTGAAGCACGAGGTGAAGTTGGTGGTGATGCCGACGAACAAACACCGGAGTCCGACTCGCACATTAGTAGCTAAACTTGTACTATTTACCAGCTATATAGAATTTTAGGTTTATTTTTCGTTAGTGTTGTTTCATTTCAAGAACTTCGAATTTTTCATGCTTCAAGTGCCCACCTTTCTTTCTCTGAGGTTTGCTGCCAGCTCCTGTCGCTGTCGATCACAAAGTAGGCACAGCTCGTCAGGCACGAAATCGGTCGGGTCCGAATCTGTTATAATAACATTACGATTTCTAGGGATAGCTAAAAAGTTAAGAAAATGCTTCAGTGTAAGTTCTGCTTTGGTTTCGCTTTTTCTCGTTTTAAGCTGTTGACCTTATGCATCTATGGTATTACACATTTTGATAGAAGCGGTTCCGGATGAACTCAACAAGAATGATTGAAATGCTAGAACTTTTGAGCTGAAGACTTTTAGTCGCTGACCTTAAAGTTTGATTGAGACTTGCAAGAGTAAAATTCTTCGAAGTTAATCTTCTTAAAGTAAATAATGGGAGCTCCTTTGAAACAAATCGTCCAAAAAACTCAAAAGCTTTTTCTGATGCCACGATAACAAACCGAAATTAAAATTTACTTCATGCTGGGCCCTGTTTGCCACATGGAATCACATCAAGCTTTGGGATCCAATACTAATTAGAAGGAACTCAAGTGTAGCGTTTCTGTGCTCGCCGCACCTTCAAACAACGCACCGATTAATAAAGGAATGATTCGATTGATTCATGGTTACTGTACTTTCGGCATGTTCCTTGAGGTATCGCAAGGTATAGGAAAATTGCGTTCAGAAAAGTGGTGGAAGCTAAAAACTATGTAATAACTTACCGGTTTTGTTAAGGCACAGCGGAGATTCCGGAAAGATGGTTTCCCAAACTTCTTTGCCAGCAAAGTAACAAGCGAGATTTTCGACACCTGCAAATCAACAACCTCTATATTCATTAGTATCTTACAAAAACTATAAATTCTTTATTGTGTAGATGCAAAAAGGTTTAGAATTTTCGTAAAGTTACGAGCAAATACCAAAGGAGTGGCTCAAAACACCCCATTCCCCTTGCAGTATGGCTTCACGCCTCTGTGAGGCTGCGCCTTCTCCGTATAATAATCATTAATTTTAATTGAGGCCCCTCGAAATCGTCGTGCTATCTTCCTGGGCCTCCATTTAATTAGCGGCAGCTCAGATAATTGCCCGAAATTGCACACAAATACACAGTTTTCGGGCCTTTAGGAGCCATCCAGAGCAGATATGTGATGAAACATAAAATAGAGGTGTTAGAGGAGAATTGGGACAATTTGGGGAAATATTTGGGCAACAAAAGGAAGTGCCTAGGACTTGTAGGAGAAAAATGCTGGAATTCTCGCCCAATGATGATTCCCAAGGTCTACCACAGATGCCGAAGCAATCTCTCATGCGTAGATTATCGCCGACGAAAAACAACAAATTTCTCTTGAAGCTTCAGAGATATGAAAATGCATGGACAAGACCCGACAACTTTACAGCAACATGGTATGTTCTCCTGCTGATCGGGATAAGACGAATGCAAATGGCTTAGCCAGTAGAGCCTTGCCCGCTACACACATAACTAAGATGAGGACCCGCGTCTCGAAGGTATCGCAAGCCTTGCTCATATTCAGAGATATCCATCCAAGATTCGGATGCTAATTTGAAGAGAGGCGCATAGTGGTGAATAATGGATGAATGGCGGCCTTCTCGCCGTGTTCTCCCTAATAAAGCTCCACCGAAACATAAAATGCGACAGAGAATATGTGCTGCAAGTAGTTTTGAATTTTGGCTACCTGTAGACAAGTCAGCAAAACATCAAGGAAATTTCTTCTACGTGAGTCAGTCACTGGGCTCCAGCGCAAACGGAATGCTCAGAAATGATTGGAAACACCGATGTAACGCTTGGCAAGGTTACGTAGACGCTGAGATTGGACCCATTGTAATCTCTCAATTAGGCAGGCCATCTGAGAATTGGCAAAGGGTGTCGATTCTCGCAAAGAAACATAAATTTGTGTGCCACTTAGAAAAGTTTTCAATTATATTTGCTGGAAACCACGAAAAAATTTGAATGAAAAGAGATTATAGTGTAACATTGGAGAATCGAAAGCAAAGAGGCCAAGTCTAACCATAAAATGGGTGAAGCACTACATAGGAGTAGTGAGTTTTAGGAACAGCTTTTTTTACCTATACTTTGCATATGCGTTATTATGTTTTGAAATTTTGGAAGATTAGTTTGTCTGAGCAGTTTCTATCCAAAAGTCCCCAAATAAATCCATATCAGCAAAAGCTTACACTGGTAGTACTCATCAGAATTATTTATGAGCTCAGTGTAGTTACTCAGAAATCATTCCGAATGCGGAGAGCAGAAATGAGCGCATCATTGAAATGCCGCTGATTAGTGCTGAGATTAGCGCTAAACCTGAGAACGAAGAGCTCAGCACGTGATTCTGATTTGCAAGACGTCAAAGCACATCAGTAATAAAGAGTTGATCATATGCTAACAATTTAAGAGTTTAGCACTGGAGTTTTCCGTAAACAACATTTCATAGCTGTAGCAGAGTAGCAAAGGATGATGTGGGGAGCCAAAAAATGTGTATAGATTCAGCGACTTTTTTGTAGAAGCCTAGATAGACAACTTGGGGCTTACATTATTGTAGGGAACTTTTCCAAAAGATCACTGACAATACAACAAAAAACAATTTCATAAAAGAAAAGAGTGCGCTGCAAAAACAGGAAAACTTGTCAAGCATAGTCTAGTAATTCCTTGCTATGAACTTTTCTTATTCAATTTTCGATTTTCCGATTTCCGATTTTCACATTTATAAAAAATTTTGCCATGTTTTTCTCAGTTCCTCCATGGTATGTTCAGTCTTTCACAGATGACTTGCTGAAGTATAGTCAATCACTGGATAAACCATAACATTAAAAGAAAAGCCACTTAAATATTCCCACCAGATGCCTACTAAAATTGCTTTTTTTGAAGTCCTTTGAAAAGTTACAGGGTGTGTTAAACAGATTCGCAGTTCTAAAACTAGGCTACATGGGTAGTACACCCAAATCCTACAAAGTTTTCACTTTCTTTCCAAGCTAAAGCTCCCCGTTACTAACAACTTATGCGTGCACCGTCGTATCAGCTCTGATTATAACGTCGGTCCCCGAGACTATCGGCAGTTATTTCCGCCGAGCGCCACCCAATCAGCGCCGAATTGAGCCCGCCAGCCGAATCGTCGACTCTGACCGGCCCTACCGTAGACCCGCCGGTCTCCCCGGGCAACCGCCCCATACATGCACACACACACACTCTCATTGCCGCCCGCCGGCATTTCTCAAAAACACAGTTGCCAACTCCTCATACACACACCCCATATTCTGTGCGCTTAACAAGTACGACGGTTGTGCGTACTTCTATTGAGCGCGTGTTCTTCGGTTGACGAGCTTTAGTGCATCAACATTGGAGAGAGATTAATCTAGATAGGGGCGGATCACACACGATACTTTCATATGACTAGGAGCGTGCCTCTCTTCGTTTTGGAAGCATTTCGGTGGAAAAGAGGAAATGCACAGGTGCAAAGAGGAGTGAGATCGTCGAGTAAGGGCATCAATACAAAGGAAAAGGGCAGTGCGTGAAAAGAGGAAAAACAGCGGCATTTCCTCGCAACGAAAACAAACTTTGCCTCGACGGGCCTGTAAGAAGTACACGCGGAAGAAGTTTTTTTTGTGGTACTCCGCGAAAATGCCGTTCAAAGGATTTTGATAGGAGATTGTGAAAATTTAAAAATTCCGCTAATTGATAAAGTAATGATACAAGGCATACGCAAGCATTTCTCAATTCTATCCCTGAAAATTAAGAAACTCAAAAGGATTGTTAGAAAAGCGCGACGCTAATCACCGTCCGCCATATGCACCGCCGGATCTTGGGTTATGGTAGCTCACCCAATCACAATATTGGGGGAGGGCCTATTTGTCAACTTCGCCAGCGCGGGCCACGGCTTGCGCTGGCGCGCTGCAGAAAACGGAGAGAGCGATACGAAAGCATTACGGAAGCGCGGATAGGGAAGGCGGAAACTTGGGGAGGGGAAGGGGTGGGAGGAGGGGTAGGTGGAGGAGAAGTAACTTGGTCGGAAGATTTTCATTTTTAGAAAGGATTGCAAAAAATACACTGGAGGATTTGCAATTTTACGCTCCTCGCTTCCTTTAGTGAAACAAAAAAGCGGGAAAAGCAAAATCAATAATTCTAAAAACGTAGCAACAAGTGAAAAGCTCCAAACTACAGATCAGCAGCACCCCCCTCCTCCTCCTCCTCATACAAATCTCGTCGAAAAGCTGTAGATATCGTAATGCAACGATGGGGCACCTGGCTGGAACAAATTGGTCGCAACGCGCTCATTAGTGACAGATTACTGATATGGAGTCGCGCAGGAAACCTTTCATTATAGGGTTGCGCGAATTAAGTCTCGTACACACACATACACATAGAGTATATGAGAGAGATGTAGCGAGATATGGAGGGCGATGAGGAGGTTATTGAGTGCTTGATTCCTGATAATAATTGTCGTTTATCGGAGCTTAATTGGGGTGTAAAGTCAGCGCGTTATGGACCAGGGATGAAGCATGCTTGCAAATGTCAATGAAAGCATAGAAGCAGTAGAAGGACATAGGGCTGAAAATCTGGTTTTGCGAAAATACATGACGAAATTTCGTAAGAAATGCTATAAATGAGAAATTGGTAACATGAATTGAGCCGAAGCCCGCCGTCGAAGGCAACATGGAATGACACCTCTTCTTAAGCCTAATTGCATGGATCTATCTCTTAGAACAATCGCTGCCGCTCCATTCGACACAAACCCGTGCTCTTTCACAAGCACGGTGCCATTTCAGATGAAACACTTCAATTTTCGCGACTTTTCTTCCTGTTTTCTATGACAGAAGTTTTAGAATTGTCACTGCAAAAAAAAAACAGAAATTTTGAGAGTTGATAAAATGTTTCCAAGCATTGTGATGTTGATAAAAATAAGCACACTAAGCAAAGGATTGAAGCGTCTTTCAACCTTTCTTGCTATGCATAATTCATTTGCATAAATGGGGCGACCTCGCCGAATTTTCCTGCAATCCCCTCTCAAAGAATGCTAAATTAGGTAGATGGGTATGCAATGCTACGAATAGTGCGAGATATTCGTCTAGTAGGCTGAGCTATGTGAGCTCATGGGAACATTTGTTAGTTGGAAAAGAATGGTGAAAAAATTATAGCTAGAGAAGTGACACTGATAGAACGGGGTTTGTGGGTAGAAAAGTTCTTGCTGATGCATAGATGCCCCCGATTTCAAAACCTAGAAGGAAAAATTTGATTTTCTTATGAGGATGTGAAGTAATGATATAAAATACATTCCTTACCTGCTGCAAGCAGTGCTGTTCGAGACCAACGTGCTAGATCTTTTCGTACGTTTCGTCGTTCGTAGAGGCACGCTAGGCCGCAACGCATCACAGCGTAAGCATTGCTGAACGCTGAGGAATTAGGGAATTTCAAGAGCGGCTAAAGATTTGTTTATGAGAAAAAGCACAAAGCGAAATAACTGTTAGGAAATGTAGGATTGCTAAGAATGATAACAAAGTGACGAGATGAGCTGCGAACGGATTCGCTATAGCTGGGAAGCTGTACTGAGTACTTGTTTGGCGGCGGCAGCATGCACATTTCGAGCGCCGTACGCCTCGAAACCACTGGCTTTCCGGGGCGAAAATCGTTACCGTTATCGTCTAAAGGGTAATAACTTTTTGATGTTAATAATTTCCACTGATTCAGGTGCTCGATGAGGGCGAGTGCGAGTGTGAGCTGAGCGAGTGAGAGGTAGAGGCGCGAGCGGGGACGGACGGACGGGCTGAGACTGCCGCTGCGGGGCGACCAAATCCGTCCGAATCACTGCCAGCCACCTAGCCAGGCAGCCAGCCGGCAGCTTGTCTGCTAGCTGGCCGCCTGCACTGATATCAGCGGCGAGAGAGCCGTGATTCTAATCATCAGGTAAGCTCTTGCAATACCTACGGATAATCAGCGCCTTTGACAAAGGCCACGGCCATGTTATGAGGAGGATTTGTACGCATATTCGTATCCGTGCTGATGATTCAATACACCTTTATGGCTTGATATATCAAGCAGTCTCTAGCTGTGCCAACTAGAACAAAACTGCCTTTAATATCCAGCTCTGGACGTCTACACATACAAAGTAAAGAAGAACATAGTAAGCTCTTTAATAGCTCAATATCCACACCAGCAAGACTAATGGAACGAAAGACAAAATACCCAGGTAACCGCCCACATGAAACAAGTTAGGCAGAATGGCTTTATTCAACACACATTGAATTAGCCAGGGCCAACGAGATTAACTTGTACTTCTTACAAAGTACAAACCATATCTAAGGCATAGAGTATAGTTCTAGAATGAATCATGTATTGTGGGTGTGGCCTAGACTTATGAATCGCTACAAATCCTAAAAACCACACAAAAAATAAATAAATGAAGGTTAGATAATTTCGTGATATTTATAAAATTAATACGCTTGAGGGTTTATTTATTACTGGCACATGATTCTGTTGCTATTGGAGAACGTCATAATGCACATTGTATTATGCTGAAAACTACAAACAGATTAGAATCACTTTCCCTTTGAGTATGAATGATTCTTTGCTGCATCTTGTCTGTAGAAGGGAAAGGATGACATTTTCTTGCCATTATGATTTGCTCCTCCCATTTCAGGGTCCAAACTAGGTTTATTTCGTGATTTTTTGAGCTCTGCTGAACTTGGAAGCATTGTCCTAGCTTAGGATTCAGTTCGTATAATTTAGGTTTTAGAATTTACATACTAAGAACTTTTTAACACTTACATTTGCGAGTCATATCGTCTTGCCAATTAGAGCGCTTTCACAAGCATGATTTTGTCTGTTGAAAAATTGACTTATGCAACTCTGTGGCCCAAGAAAAAGAAAGTTCTGCCGGTAAAGCGCTTTGAGCCGAGCCACGTACTACTTTCTGGCCGTACAAATCATCGCATTGTGCGTTACGGTGTTGTATTGAGATGAGCAAAAGCGAAGAGGTCGCCAAAAAGCCTAGCCGATAGCTGAGCGTAAAATGTTACAGATGATGTACGACGATAAGCACTAGACAATGCTTCGCTCCCAAAATATTAGCGAGCGCAGCAGCTGCAGAACGAACGGACCGAACGTGCAGTGAAAATGCTTTTCGAGCTGACACTGTCATTTTCGAAATTTCGAGGGAAGATTACTCAGGGGTCCTTGTACCAGGTTGATTGTCAGAGGTTGAACGTACATAGACTCCCCTCCCCCCCCCAACAGATCTATTGTATTTGATTATATTTATTAAGACTATTGAGTCCTCTGCCTTGAGGGCCCCTCTTCCCGCTCGAGTTGCTGAAGGATTGTTCGTCTAGGGTTACCAGGACATGATCAGCCAACTTCTAGTAATTTCTTATCGCTCTGGTCAAGGGAAAAGATTCTTGGAGGAGCTACCCCACTTCTTGAAGAAGAAAAACAACTTGGACCTTTCAGCCACAAAGAAATCGCGACAGACTCGACCACTTGTGCTTTACTTTTTGTGTTGCATTTTGAAAGGCCTCTGTGTGTATTACATAAAAATACAGATATGATTCGAACCGAATTCCACCAAAGTGCTGAACTATGCGAGTTCAACAATTGTTTTGACGTAAGCTAAGTCAAGCGATGCTTATTGAATTATTTTGTGCTCAGGAAAGGCCAAGGATACTCACACTGCCGTGCGACAAACCAAGTCATATTCAGCTTCATCCACTTCTTAGTGAATGTTTTCTAGCGAAGTAATGAGTGTTAGGCGTGCGAAACCTTGAATCAAAATCAGACAAAGTTCTTCTCTGCCATGTGGAAAGATTGTTTGGTTTCCAACACTATTTGCGGCGTTGTTTACATGATATGGATTTAACATATAATCGATTACCAAGAAAAAAAGGTTTGTATATATCTCTATTGTACCGACGGGAAAAGAGATCTTAGCGAAATGGACTTAGCTCCTTATGAGGATCTAAAAATGCAGAAGTGTTCAAATCTTTCCGTTGCTTCTATACGAAATTTTAGTTCTATTATTTCTCCTGGCCTTCAAAAGGTGAGCATTCTCTGAAAACAGAGAAGAATGTCTTGGAAAAATGTCCCACGCCTTCAAAGATCACCAAGATGCTTATTCATGTAATATGACTAACTCTTTACATCTCACATAATCCGAGCATCGAGATAATAACGACTTCAACAAAATCAGCTGACTTCAGTGTTCTGGACAATAGGCTCCTATAACTAGCGAAAAGCATGCAGAAACGAAGTGCAGCCATGTGATATCGATACTCGTCATAGACCTGAAGCCGCTTTTATCCGGGCGTATGTGAGATAAAGAAAGTCTCTACTTTCGTAGTCAGCTTACTGCATAATTCTCTTTTTTGTTGTTCTTTGTAGAAATTTGTTGTGTAGCAACATTTTGTAGTAGAGCATAGGTAAAAGTGAATATTTTTGAGATAGCTAATGTTATACTAGATGATGTCAAAGCATATGATGTGCTTCAAGTATGGTGGTTGTTTATGTAAAGTCAATTGATGATATTATAATTTTGCTAGCCCTCACTCAACTTCATTTGACTTTGGATGCATTCACTCCAAAATCATTACCCAAACATCCTTCAGCAGTAAAAAAGTATCTACGAGCTTCTTCGGAAATTCAGCTCATGATTAGAAAAAACAATCCGAGAAAGCAGCGGGTTTCATGGGCATAAGTGGCGATATGGTAACGAAATCGGAAAACAAATTTAATCAAAAGGAGTGTCGAGAAATCGCACATTGCGTACCCTAATCATAGGAGTCGGGCAGCTGTGGCGCAGCTTAATAACGCCAAAGTTATTCAAGGCTAGCCCGCCCATCGAATACGGTGGATTATGGGCGGCCAGCCGATATGGAGCCAATTCGTGCACACACAAAAATGTTCGCGCCCCCAAGTCAGGCGCGCTTGGAATTTTGTAAAGATGATGTTTTTCTTATTTTATTGTAAAGCAACAAAATCTTACCATCGTCTCAATCCTAAGGATGAGCCTTGAAGAAGTCTGCATTGCTGCTATCAATATGGCGACTCCTTGGAATCTGAAAAACAAAGAAATGATTCCTACAAAGGAGAGAGCAATGCGTATTTGACGTAAAAATGCACTTATTGGCATCTGGGAATTTCGTGAGGCTTTATTCATTTATTTATTTATATGGTACGCACAAGGCATGAACATCAACACAAACGAAGCATCACACAGAAAACTAGCAAATAAAAGAAACAAGAAACACCTCATTAAATCAGCTCTTAGGGATAGAAAGGTTTGGAGGGTATGAAATCATCACAGGTGTAGAGGTTCAATCTCAGATCTCAAAAAGATGTCTGTCTCACGCCCCCTGCTCTAAGCAAAAACGCTTCATGATTTGGCACGAATGCCAATTTACAAATATCAAATTTTTGAGATGTGAAAATTGGACCGAAGTCGAATGGACACCATAACGAATGTAACTCCTACATGTAGAATCTATGGGTGAGATTGGGGATATTTTCTGCAAAGCTTCAAATGAAGGAATGGAAGAAATAATAGAATAATGGTTAAAATGCAATTATGAATCCCTATCTTTGTTTACGCTATCTTGTCAGAGGTAGATGTAGCAGAAGCAGCTATGAGATTTTACAAGCTTAAATTGCACTATAAACTGCATACATAAGTTAATGTGAATTAGAAAAAAATTTCTTTTTTCCAATGTGTGCACTTTGATCAGAAAAGAAAGAAAAGCAATCATTCACCTCAATTTTGGTTGGGTAGCCGATGTGCACACCACGAATGAAATCCAGTGGAATGCTGCTAATTTTGCACACAAGCAATTTCTCTTGACAATTTCATTGATTCGAAAGCAACAAAAAACAAGAAAAATTTTGCTGTAGCGCATTCCACTATCACTATGGATAAGGACAGGGCCTTATTTATTCTGGCTCAGCAGTTTTGTCAGCATTTCGAGTCTAAAAAATGATGTGAGCATGACGTAAGCGGGATACATGATTTAACTTTGTGCGAGAGATTTTGTTTACAGCACACAAATGGTTTATGAACAATAATACATTCAAGCTCCTTTTGATCTAATTAAGACTTATATAGGTAGGTAAAGTTGGGGTTCTCTATGCAGATCCTCTGAAGTTTATTTCAAGCTTTCAATAATATGGTCATATTTTCACTTCTCCCCACTTCACTTCTCCCCACTTCACTTCTCCCCACTTCACTTCTCCCTAACGTAAAGGCATGAGTGGACAGCAAGAGAGGTACAAACCACAATAAGTATAAAGTAGTTTCAAACTTCAAAATACCGGTGCTCATGGATACTGTGATTCCACACCCTCACCATTAACTAGAGCTCAGTGATTGCTTGGTTGCAAATCAAAGC